ATTTGTCGACAAGAAGGCAGGGATTGACAATTTGTGATTCGGCTGACGTTTGAATGCGAATTGCCAGCCACAACGGTGTTTTCTCCGATGCATAGGCCGTTGTTGACGGATATTTGATAAAGTCAACACAGAACGATCACAAATACGACATATTGGTCGTAAAGTACAACAGTTTGCATCATGGTCGTTCGTAAGTGAAATTGACAATTTAATTCCGTTCAAAAGGGTGCTAGCGTACTGTAGAGACGACCTCATAATCTTAGCTCAGACAAACAAAGGATGCAAAACAATTCAATATATCGAAAAGAAAAGGCACAGTAATGTACAATTAGTAAAAATCCACACGTGAATGGAGAGCTACAAAAATGGCGGCTCAAATTCAAAAGCCCGCCAGTTTGTGCTAAAGGCAGTGTTGCATTATTTATAAATGCCGATTTATTTTAAAAACTGCAAAGTTCCGAAAACGACGGAAATGACTCTAAGATAGTAAGCTTAGTTTTTTGATGAAGATAACGTATCCTTATACGAAAAACGTTGTTCATAAGTAAAGTTTATTTCTATATATCGTTAAATAATTAGTGTCAATTCACACATGACGGTTTTTCATCTGCCTACATTCTGAGTGTAGATTCCAAAACTGTTTTCCAGAGATTCGTGATATTCTTGAAACATTTGAGTTAAATAAGATGAGGTTTACCAAGAGGTGCTGGATTTCGCTTGATTTTGTCTATGGGTACGTCGTAGGAACAAACGATTTCATAAGGTGACATGCTATGAGGTCAGCGGGTGTCTAATATACTTAAATTGAACTTATGGGCGTGATCGTAAACATGTTCTTTTGTGTTTATAGATATAACCTTTCTTCCGGTGAAATAATGAACACTTTTCGCCCGTTTTGGATTACGTTGCATTCCAGATCAGCCTCCAAATATTGCTAAAAACACCATGATTTTCAGTATCCATCCCCTTATCGTCCATAAAGAAAAATTCTGAATTATTCCTCTGTTGAGAACTTTAAATAGGATTTCTCTTGAAGGCATTTAACGAACTCTTGAGTGTTCTGGCGCCTCTTTTCGCGAAGATGGTCGTTTGGGTCACATGTGAAGACTCATTCAAACATCAACCCTTATTAACCAGATAAATGGCTGTCCACAACAAAGGTCAACAAGAAATATGCCTTGTATCGAAAAGAAAACCTTTTTCAATAAGTTAACTTTTTAAAAAGTGATTTATTAACGAACCTTGCTTACATATCTCTGTGTGTTTTACATTTTTGCATGGTAAGGCCAAGTGAACATTTAACACTTTTGACTGTTTATCTCACATTCCTAAAAACTACTATTTTATCTATCTTAAACGTAAGAACACGCCTTCTGCTATACACTGAGATCATTTCCACTGCCGTTGCTCACTTTTAGACTCCGTTCTTCCATTTTGAATACACGGCAGAGTGCGAGTAGAAAGACTAATATTTTGCTGAAACTTTTAATGTTTTGCTCGTTCTATTTCTGCATAAGCTATGCGCAGAAGTTAAACTACACGACAAGTAATGTTTTATACGTTCAAAACTGGAAATGACTATTTGGTGGTGGTCATCTATGTGACACCGCGTAGAATTTTCCAAACGGCAAAACGATTTCAGCCCATTTAAACGAGGGAATTAATATCTACGATATTACTGCCCTTAGGGCACCAAATCGAACATAACTATTTAAATGACTTTTAGTAATTCATAAAACCGCTCGTTTTCTAAAAATAACCTTTTTGTTAAAAAGTCAATTGTCACGGTTAACATCGGACGTATAATAAATTTTAAAGCTCAGTTAAATCTGCTTATAAAAACTCTCACGGGTAAATTACTATACTTTGAATGAAAAAGTCCCTTAAATGCGTGACCGGAATCTAGGACATGTAATAGCAAAGACTACTGCACGAATATATTCCAACATTCATTTTAGCTAAAATTTCCTGATAGTTTACTTGATATAATCACGTAAACACAAGTTATGCACTAGAAAAATACATTTTATTGATGGATAAGGGTTAAGCGAACAAAATGCGCAATGTTTAAGAAATCAAGAAATTCTTGCATCAGTTTGTGTTATCAGATTTCATGAGATAGGTTATGAACTGCAGTAAGTCACGCGTAATGTACGTACCCCTGTTTACCCAGCTATAGGAAACACGAGCTACATCGTGTGTCTTGATTGGTACAAAGTGGGACGTCTGACAGCAATTACTTGAATAAAAGCTACTGCTGATCAGTAAGTCTCTAAGTGCACAGGCATTTTTAAGTTTGGACCACAACATTTGGTCATACAGAAGCTGGTCAGCTGAATCGCCAGAGGAGAAGCTAGGGCTTGTTTTTTGAAGGATTCTCTGCTGTATCTAAATACACAGGAGATAAAATTTATGACTGATAGTAAGCTTTATAAACACACCTCAATTTCGCATAAAATACTCATAGCATTTAGTTCAAACAAATTAAAGTTGACACTGCATTTCAGAACTGCGTATGCAACGCTGACGTAATACAAAAAATCGTTGGCTGCAAATTTGTTTGCAATATAAGGCGCAGGTTTTGACCACGTATCCGAATTCGCACATTCCTCGAGGTAATATCCTACCTTTTCGGTGGCGGCTTCTCTGCACGCCTCACCTGGCTCCAAATGAACTGAAATGAATTGAACGTAAATGCTACTTTCGACGGAAAAGCATGCAACGAATTAGTAATTAACGTTAGTATGTGAACACCTCACCGCGAAACAGGCATCAAAGACAATGGAAGCCGGGGGCAACAAACTTCCCCGAACTGTCATGGCTGTGTGGACCCGATAATGGAGTTGGTATATTCATTTCTCATTTTATCTCGTTAAATGAAAGCGACGCCACAACAGCAAAGCAGATTTTAAAATAATTAGGTACTGTCTACTGATGTGCTCTGGGTCAAATGTAATCCCCGTTTTACCCTTTACACTGTCAGGTACGTTTATTGGGTCCTTGAAACCACGCAGATTTATTCAACTCGTAACGCGTGTGATAGCTCATAATTCGCGTAGTTTTACAAAGGCTGGCCCGTCAGTCACGCGTTATTTTGTGGCTTTGAAGAAGAAGGTGGGCTCATTGGAACAGGTTTATTAAGATGCTGACGTTTCGAGGAACTTGGTCGATTATCCACTGTCAAAACGTAAAATGCACTTAATCGACCAGAAATGCCAAGTGGCGTGTCACGTTGGTCGGCCTCGTGCTAATCGATTTTTCCCTCCTCTCGTTGCCTCGGCCTCTCGAGAGATGGCTGACGGGCATTTTTTCTGCGTGCGTTGTGCGTCCGCCGGGGTGAAGTGACTGAACCAGTGTCAGATGTTTGGCCTGGCGGTTCTCTTTCTTCTTCACCAAGTAAACTAGCCGTCCGGCTGTCTCCGTATGAAACTCTTAAGCCCGCTGTGGTTGTTTGGTCCTGAGCTCTAGGATTGTGATGATGTAGAACTTTGTAGGCTGCAGGAAGGTTCAGATGCCTGTTGGTAGAGTGGGCATCAGAGAACCGCGCCTTGAGAGTTAGCCGTTCTGCTTTTGTGTTGCCCCGGCTTAAGATGATAGCTCGCCCAGTTTCTCCAACGTGTGTTGCTTATCAAGAGTTTTTGTGGCTGCTTGCCTAAAATCGTATTCTGACTTATGTTTATGAGGAGCCAGTAATGCTTAACATGCCTATATGTCCTCTAAATTCGAGTTTTATCACACATTTTGGTAGACACACTTTTAGCTGATGTCCGTTACCCTTTTGTATTAAATCAAGTTATAATTCCTTTCTGGTGCCTCACTTAACTTTTTCGCACTCTCTAGTATTGTTACTTTGTAAGTTACGCAGAGATTGTTTACGAAAGTTGAGTAGATCAGTTTATTTAAAGGCTATTTACTCAGACCCATGATTTTTCAGATTGCGGTATCTACCACAAAAAACAGGGAATACTGGACGACCCACTGACGAGACGAACCCCTCGCAGCTGCGCCATGCAGTGGCAGAATATCAGTGAAACAACGCGTACGGATTTTTGGCTAGTACCTATGCTGTTAGTATGGTATCACCTTTACCTAAAACATTCTCTTGTATTTTTAACGCTAGCGGCGGACTTAGTGCGCAATAATTATTAACTCACTTTGCGTTTTGTAACTTAACGCATAGGATATTCTGGACACGCCCAGATTTCCAAGCCAGCATGCATTCAGCGCTGGTCTTTCCTATTATCCAAAAAAGGTACAGCCGTTAATCGCTGGAATTTTCGAGTGCGTGAATCACATCGTCAAATGATCGCCTTTTTATAATGTCAGCAATTTAAAATTGCTGCGATGTTAGCCTGGCCTCCGTTTAAAAATGTAAACGAACGCATTCCGTCCCAGTGCATGCTCAAAATATTCTTGTCGCATTAAAACATTTGATTGCAGATGTTGATATTGAAACTGACCGTTAAGTAATGCAGGCTATTTAGTCAAGTACGACAGCGTTGATTTTCCTGTCTTTTTGCTTTTCGGTTTCTGCGATTATTGGTAGCGTTTAAAAATGAACACGATGCAAGTGTCATTACCTAACATGCTACTAAACTCAGATTATTGCTCTCCAACGCATGCGTCAAGCCACAAGTGCGTGTTTCTTAAGGTAGCCCTTAACCCGAAAATGACATCTGCTCATCATCGGTCATCTGGAGGGGGCAATCAGTCCTGATTCAATAGCTAGTTAAGAAATGTTAGATTTGTTTGACCGTCACCAATAAGTGACATCGGCGCTTACGTCCGCATCTATCCTTATGGTCGTATAAGTGGAAAATTTAGATAAGGCGTTTCGCTTAATAACGCCCGTGACTTGTCTGCTCCTTAGATGGACAAATAAACAAATCCAATTGCAAAAGGTACACATTTATGCATGTTTTGTTTTTAGAACAGTTGCATACAATGTGTGCGGAAAAAGAAAAAAAGGGGAATGTATGCAGTTTTTCTGATAAAACATTTTAGAGAGTGGCTTTAGCAGAGAGTAATGAGAGGATGTAGACCATGCCTCTCCAGGCGGCCAGCGCTTTTGCCCCGTTGAATGAGATATAGAATAGTGTGGGCGAAGGTTCGACTTCGTCAGGGCGAAATCTAATCAAAGCATATTGGCCGTCGGTGAAACGTAGAGTATAATCCAAAGTTGTGTTTTTCATATATCCAGATAGAATGCAGACCTCCTCTCCCTTCAATTTCTCGTTAACTGTCGTTAAGTAAACACAGTTTGCATATCTTAAAAACGGTCTTGAAAGCACGTATGCAAAATTCACCAAACAAGTCTTCATACCTGTCCAAAAAACATGCTTAAAATACATACATGCCCATATTATGGATAATATAAACCATGATCATCATAATCACTGACGATTGGAATGTAAGTGATCCGCACGGCCCAATCCATGATTTCTTCTTTGGTCCTTCACCTTACGCTCCCCAGATAACTAACTTTTGTGCAGCTTCATGAAGGAAGGTGTTTACGGCTTTGCGCAATCCTCACTCTCGCCGATCATTGTGATGCCACATTTGTCCATTACCGTACGCTTCTGCGCTAACAGAATTCGCGCTATACGGAAGGCAAACCTCACAGCTTGATCCGTGAACTAGCTGTTAGCATAGTTACTTTTCTGGGCTGTTATCGAGGGACTGCGAGTTGTTGTCATACTGGCTGAAACGATGGGCTTCCTCACATTTAATATCTGAAAGAACTTAAATGCGATCCTCCTACGATCCCATACAGGATGTTGGCTGAAGCCACATGCCGGCGGCTCACAGGCCATTAACGGCCATTCCAGCCTCATTCCTTGGTGTCGGTTATGTCATGCTGCACGAATATGCGCACAGCGTTACGAACTATGATTTAAAGAAAATGTCGCAATATGTATATTAATAATTTAAAGGACGCAACGTTTATTTCCTGCCTTGATAGGGCCCCATTACTTATAGTGACCAGATAGCTCGTTGAGTTGTATGATTCATCTGATGTTCGCCTTGGTGATTTACGCATGGCTATATTTTAGTAATAAAGATTTATGCATATATGATCCGAAACTCAACAAAATCTAATCTCATCGAATATACATTGGAAGCACATTTACTTTGAAGACAATTCTTTGTTTATTCCAAAAAGCAGTGACTTACGATATGGAACCATCATCATATGCTGAGTACTGTTATCAGAGGGGTCTGTAAAATACTTTATATCTCCTTCTATTTCAGTAACCTGAAAATGAATAAACGGCACGATTAATTCAGGCTAGATGCGTGTCCCACATACATTCTTCAAAGAGTAACCCAGTAGGAAACAGAGTTGCCTAACGTCTGGCCTGCATAACTCTCAACTTCAAATTTTATCACAAAAATACAATAATATAATAGGAGTACGCTGTTGGCTCATGCGGGTTTTAAACAAATGTTATCTGCAGTCAGCATGTTAATCATTATTCACTGCCATGCAGGCAATGCCTGAAGCACGTACAACGACAAATTTATAATAATTTTTTTCCATATATAAGTGTGAAAAGATGACTGTGCATCACAAATAAATAAAACCCTTTGAATTGTTAAGCTGAGGGGACCGATCCATCACTTATGCTGATAAAAGCAGGACAATAATGTGCATGTTAACAGCTGTCAGTTACATCTACTGACTCACGTTTACGTCGGCGCCATATAGAATAACGACTTCGGTCTTTCCTGGGGCGTTTAATGCAAGCGTCTTTGTCAGACCAATATCGCCTGGTAACTTTGGGGCTATGCGAAGATTTCAAATATTTATCCTTCAACCTGCATATTAAACTCCATATTTATGCAAAAAATAGTTTTCAGAATAAAACATCAACTCTTAATATCAAAAACGCAGTTTGAACAGACAGCCTATTTTGCGTAAAAAATTGGGTACAATTTGTAGGACGAACTTTGACCATTGCCTTTAACAATTATTGCGGAGCGGCGCTTTGATGCATCGGCTGCTGTTAAAATAATTGCTCCTATGCCGGCGTCTTGGTTGTACAACAGCCCTGAGTACTGAGTGTCTGTAGTAAAAAAGAAAGTATTTCATATTTTGCGTTAGTAACAGTAAACTAAAAAAAATTATTCTGTAGTGTTTTAAATCATGTGAATGCTAAGAATGTCCGCTTTCGTTATGTCAGCCTAAAAAACTGCTAATTGGCCTAAGAAGACTTACCATTTAGCGTTTGCCAACATGATGCTCCAACCTGGCAAGGCTTGGATTGGGATCCCTTTGGGACCAAAGAACCCTCCAGAGTAACCGACTATAATGAAAAAAAAACATGCCAATCCTTGCGTTAGCACACAGAAATGAATCATTTAAAGCTTACCTCAACTGTTTTGTCAAAATTGCGCAGCGTTGTAAATGGAGAATTGGGCGTTACTGTATAATTGATCCTTTTAACGGCTATGGCGGAAATAAATGGAACCAGGAACAGCGTCACAATGGTGCTCATGCGTGTTTAACGCAAAGTATGAGCTCAAAATAATGTATTCTAACGTACTTACCGAGTATAGAGGCACACAATGCAAGTAAAATTCCCGCGGTAAACATTGGAGCTAAAATTCAGGCAAGCACTTAATAAGAAACAAAAGGGTATTTTAAAATGCCAAGCCAAAGTCAGTCCGATGTTTCTAATGACTCTGAGCAATAAGAAATACCTTTTTTGCTATAGGTGCAGACTGTACGAAAGCCTCTTGAGCGCGTTGTATTTATATGCGAATATGCATTGCTAGAGAAACTTACTCAGTAACGAAGACATGCGACACACCGAAGTATGCGTTTTTATTGCGTTCCAATTGGCAAATGTTATTGCCTGAAGGTCCTTCACGAACGCAACATGCCAATAAACGCGGGATAGTCGAAGAAAGGCGTTGGTCAGTTTAAGAAAAACATTCTGAGTCTCTTGATCACGACAGGACTTCGTGCATTATTGCCTCGGGTTATTTCATGAATATCGATGCATTATTACCTGAGAATATTCGCGGAATCGATGTCGAAAACGTCAAAACGGTTCTAAAAATAATAACGAGGTGAGTGCAGAAAGTTTTTATATCGTCAGGTAAAAGCCATGTGACTGCAGACAAGTTTCCGACAGAAATGTTTTTCGACGGTCTACGTTCCCCATAATGAATTCTTCACTTACGCTTAATTCTTATCATGGAAGAGGAAGTGAGGCAGGAATTTTGACCTGTTTTATTTAAATTTTGGATTTTCCATAACACTAGCCTTTCTGACTGTTTAATCAATTAATATTTGTTGGGTTGTTCTTTATATGATGGTGTAGAAATGTTACACTTTTGACCCTAGAATTTTTTCGGCGAAGTCATTGTCAAGGATCCCAAAAATGACTTCTGGTATCAAATTATTTCATTTACCGTAGAGCTTAAATTCTCTTTTATATTTATCCACAAAAATGAAATTTTCGTTTTTTTTCACAGCGACTTAATGATGTATATTTGCGGACAGAAATAATTCCTCATTTTTATTTTCTATGGTCTCAAGACGATTTATGTGAAACGAGGCAGGTTGTAATTTGGTGTTGCTGGATAATGTCACCATAAATGGATCAGGAAATCTCCGCACCGAACAACACTGCTTATGTATTAAAAAAGGAGTAAGTAGTAATTTTGCTAATGAGGTCATTTTGTTAAATAATTCCGGTTAACTACCACGTCTGTGCTCCAAGCAGGACCTTCTACACAACCAATTCCAAGGTATTCATGGAACTCACGCGTAGACAGAACGCATAAACGTTTTTTTCCAAAACTGGATACTTTAGCCATCAATGTACTGAACTTTTTAAGTAAAAGAAACTATAACCTCTATGGAAAATTTAGTGGTAACTAAGGCTTGGATTTCTGATGTCCTGGGCCCTAAACGTTGGGTTAGCTACTGGAACACACAGACTGACAAAATGCACTAGGTCGTGCAGAAACAAAAAGTTGGCTCATTCGGCTGTGTTAATACTTGAATTGTTGTAATTAATGCCGGCTTTATTATTGTCATAGCCCTACTATGGTCAACTGTGTCTTAAACTTACCTGACGGATATATAGTTGCATAGCAAGCGCCTGGCAACTGCATAATTCATGAGCATGACAGCCGAGCTGTGATGCATTCGGGAGCTGCCAACTGTGAAATGCAGGTACCGGGCTTAAAACTGCATTCTATAACTACTGCAGCAATCCACTACTCCTATATGACTCGGTTTCTGGAGATGGATTCGAGTGAGAATAAGAAAGGTCAGGCTAAGAGAGTACTTATTCCCGCTACCGTTTCTCCCTTTCGCGACTAGTTTAAAGAGTTCGTCCCTTCGCTTATATTAATAACTGGGTACGTTTGCCGACCCTGTTTTGCAATTATTGGGTAGAAGATATTACAAGGTCCGTAAGAGATTGAAAGGTAACCTGTGCGGGGGGCTTTTAAAGTTATAGCATAGACAGTAGGACATAAAGCAGAAAGTGGCCTGGTTTACCAACGCGGTCACCCTGCGTAATATATACCAGGGTATTCTACCCCCTCCGCTTGGCTGTCTATGTCGACTTAGGTGTGGGAAAACACCCTAGGTTAAAATGAACCAGGCCACGCAGAAATATAAATTCGGTTAGATCGACCGCATTAACATTTGGTGTATTGTAGTGGACATCGGTTGTATAATTATAACATCCGTAACAGGGTCAACTGTGTGTTAAACGTACCTTAGCTCTGTTAAAACATCATAGACTTTGGTGCAAAGGAGGTAGTCCATTACGTACGACTGACAAAATCACAGGAGACAATGGTGACTCGACCGTCTAGAGGATAGGCAGCTAGGGAGCAAATAGGTTTACAGTGGCAGTAAATTTACGCTGGGTATATCACATTCCCTCGTCTCCTAACCTTGTAAAGCCTTGCGTTTACAGTCACGTTAACTGACGATGACGCATGCGGGCCTGCAATGCACGTTCGTTCTGTGAACATACAAGAAGTGGACTAACTCATAAAATCTCAACTGAACCTTCAAAATGCGTTTCCGTTTCGAAAAGATTGATTAAGTAGGTTTGTAAAACTGATCCTCATGCAGCGTAGTTCTATGACTATTCAGTTACCTCAGGATGCCGGCCTTCGACTAAACTTCTTTTCGGCCGCATCTATATACCATACTCCGTAAAAATCACTACTTAAGTAGCATGCATTTTTTACTGATTTTCGATGTCCTTAAAGTTACGACTGTATGTCGCGGAGAACATGCATAAAAATATTCATCCTTATGCTTATACGATCAATAAGTACGTTTCCTTTCAATTTTACACTCGAAGGAATGTTATAAACTCGTTTTCTAAAACTTTTGCATTTCCCGAATAATTTTAAACCCGACCCGCCGTAACACTTGCATCGGGGTTCCCAAACTACAAGCCGTAATTTTTTGCGTACAGAAAACCATGCTTATCTATATAGTAATAAAATGAGATCATATAGGTTTCAAAAAATTAATCAGTGCATTTGAGCCACCTTTTTAATTTTACACGAAATATTGGTAAATGCAGAGACTATATAATAATTTGATCGTCCTATCCAACAATGTTTACAGTGTGCCTCAAACCACGAAGGTAGCTAGCCCGCAAATAAATCTATTTTGGCAGTAAATTTGCGCTAGATATGTCGCATTTCCTCATCTCGTTACCCTTTGAAGCCTGGCGTATAGTGCCACGTTAACCGACAATGGAGTGAGGCGAAGTGGATGGCACCGTTAAACAGCGCATGCAGGCGTGCAAGGCACGTCCATTCTGCGAACATAATAAAAGTGGGCTAACTCATGAAATCTCAAAAATGCGTTTCCATTAAGAAAATATGAATTGAGTAGAGTTGTATAACTTATCATAATGCAACGTAATTGTACAATTATTCAGTTCCCTAAGTATGCCGGCTTTTAAACGAACTTTTTTCGGCTGCATCTATAAACTATACTTGGTAAAAATGACAACGGAAGTAGCATGCATTTTTTTATTGATTTTTGATGTCCTCAAAGATTTAATCATATTTCATGAAGAACATGCAAACAAATATTTATCCTTTCACTCATTCGGTAGAGAATTACGTGGTCTCTCAATTTTACACTCGAAGAAAGGGTAAAGTTTGGTTTTCTAAAAATTGTGCAATTCCCACATAATCTTGAGCCCACTCTATCGTAACACTTTGATTTAGTGTTACCAAACTACAAGTTCAAAAACTAAACTTTTCTCTACGGTACTTAGGGGAGACCATATAGGGCTTAAAAATTTAGGCAGTGGATTTGAGCCACATTTTTAACTTTACAAGCCAGATTGGCAAATGCTGAGACATGACATTTTACGAAGGGCCATCTGACGATACTAAAACATCTCAAAATTAGAAACTATTAATAAACACTAATGATACTTTTCCTCCGAGGTTAAAATTGAACAAAAACTTTTTTAACTGAGTGAGTGAAAGAATGAGTATTTTTACATATGTCATCCATGAGATATATTTGAATCTTTAAGAGCATCGAAAATCAACGAGAAAATGCATGGTACTGGGGTAGTCATATTTTACGCAGTCTGGTTTATAGATGCAGCCGGAAAGAAGTTTGTTCAAAAGCAGGCGTCTTGTGGTAACTGAATTATTATCAAACTATACTGCATGAGGATGAGTTTTACAAACCTACTTAATCAATCTTTTCGAAACGGAAACGCATTTCGGAATTTCTATTTTGATTTCATGAGTTAGTCCACCTCCTGTTGGGTAGGCTTTTAATACAACATTTGCAGTGGGTCCCATTTCAGTGTGAATACCATAAAGACCACATAAAGAACGAGTAATTGCAGTCTGGTTATCAGTCCTGGGAGCAATCATGGGTTGTCACGCCATTTTGCGTTTAAAGAACCGTAAAAGAGCCGAGATCGTCGAAATAATTACACAGAAACAAATGCTGAGAGTTCATCTCGTTCTCTCTGCTCTCTAGCGGTTAGCAAACGCTGCTTTTGTCTAGTCAGCTCCTCATTTGGAATATGACGCCTATTCCCTCCCGAGTCCATCATCAGTGACAATTGCTGTTGAGGGTAATAAAGCCTCAATGAGAGCAATATTTACAAGACTCAGTGGCAAAGCATCTACAGACAAAAAATAACAAGTACACCGTCGAACATAGACAAGCGGTCGTATTTGATATAACGACTGCTTGTCGGTCCATGCGCGATCCGCTAATTGCCATGATGTCATCTCCACTGTCGATTCTTTGAGTAATGCTTACTCGACAATTTGGCTCGCCGTCATCAAATGCTTGAGTCGTCCGCACCTTCCTAGGGGTCTTATTTGTTTGCGCAGGGTAAATCCAACACCGGGCGCGGAGGCGAGTGGACAATGTGTAGGTTAATTGATTGTGGTCTAGAGAACCATGAACCAGACAGCTAGCAGATCTCGAGGTTGTCCCCGTTTGCGATAATTTCAACCTCCTCAAAAAAAAACATTGTAACAGAGTACCAAAATTAACCCATTGCTGGGACGGTAGTGTACAGTTTAGAGTCTCTGTAATTTCAACACCACAGATGGACATATTGGGCTCAGTATGTAGATTACACATTCGCCGTAAGGGAACGAGAACATGTGGTGACATTTAACGGATATGTCGACGCCATCTCGTTGAAAAAAAAACAATAAACGATGGAGGAGGAAGACAATAATCAGCACGTCTTCCTTTATGCCGTTATTTGCAATAAGGATGCTGCAGCCCATTAACAATTATTCAGGTAAAACACGACAAAAGCGTAACAAGTGAGCTATTTCAACATGCGCCCAATCAGCCACAAACGCAACTGCGGATGGGTGCAATGCCGATATGTCGGAAGGCAGTATGGTAAACCCGAATACAAAATTGCTTACATATAATATCCTTGACCGGTGCTTGGAACGAATGTTTGACTGCGTAACTTCGTCGGCCGCGGCATGCGCAAACGCGAAGGCAGACGAAATGCAAGAGCTCACGTACTTGAAGCTCAGAAGCTTGAAGCTCACTTGAAGCTCACTTGAAGCTCAGAAGCAAGCAGTAAGCTCAAGCTCCTCTTTTAAATTATTCACTCATGACAATGGTTGCAGGTTCGTATAGTCAGTACTGAGCATCCATTCGCCAGGATTGTTACATGAATGGGTCTCGTCATCCAAACTAGAACGACAGACGTGTAATCCTATTGGTCTTAACTGAAAATATCGGGTTTTCAATCGTAGCACATGAAATGCGTCATAAAAATTGTTCGTTTAATAAATGTATTATTAAGAACTTTTCAAGTTATTCGGTAACAAATGCTTACTATATCAAATCTGTTCATTGCGCACCGCAATATAAGGTTACTCGCCTTTTGGACAAAACGCGAGGTCACTTGTTAGCTTTTTCCGCCGCACAGTTCTTAATTAATGTGTTTACTGTACTGAGTTTGAGTATTTCAATAGAAACTCATTTGTGTTGTTAGCTACAACGCTAACTTAGTTTACGTTTACCAAATTCCACTCCTGATAGATAGCATTTTTCGTCTGCTCTAATATTCGGCGCGTTCAGTGATGCCATTTTACAATGATTGATAAATAATTTGGCATTTTGTTTGTTCTACGAACAATAGCAGCCAAACCATTGAACTATCACTCCTTTACCCGATGTGTTACATTTCATACTTCACTATTTATTTTCTACATCACAGTTTGCTACCAATGTCGCATTTACTCAGCACAAATTTCTGCCCAACCAGACGCTTTCCAAATTGATTGTTTCCTACATCTATTTCTTAGTATTCCGGAATACTAGTGTAGTCGAGAGATACAGGGCGCCATTATCCGCAAAAATGCAAAAAACCTATCATTTGCCTAGGCATTCAAAACAAAATAAATTGGCGAATAATCCTCACTTAACTAGCTAACCATTAAAAGCACTTCGGTTCTGACTACAGAGTAACATGCTGGTTTCGTCGACAAAGTACTTTTGAAGGCAGCCGTGTTTGCACTTTATGCATGCGTAGAACACGTAGGATATTGTGTAGAACGTTTTCCACGCAAATGATTACAACAGAACGTTAAGTCATGCGGAGAATGTAATTGTTTTAATCGGAATTGTTATTGTATGTTAAGAGCCGAACCGCGTATTTGGTTGCAAGTGAATAATGTTTGCTGTTTGGGTCCATTATTCTTCGTCCCTTGTGTCTTCACCTGATTCCAACTAATCTGCATTGAAAGTAGGGACGAAAATATAAGTCAGTATGTTCTACGTATCAACATTGACGAGTTGTTAAACGCAAAGTAAAGACCTAGCCAATGGTTTAATACGTGTTCTTCTGCGCTAGTTTATGCGCTAATCGTTTTAAGTTGGAAGCAACTGTGTTGACATTGCAAATAATTTCGCGGAACATGCGTCTTCAAATTTCAATGTTTTTTGCATTTATTTAAATAGACAATCTACGCAAGACATGCGTGCATTTCCGAAACTCGGCAGGGAATTGACAGTGTATTACCTATCTCATGAATGCTGTCGAAATTTACGAAAGATTACGAATCATTCGCATATCGACATCATTGCATGAATCCGATGTCTATATTAAGTAAGTATGAGTCAAAAAGAATTAAAAGCATGAACGAAATATTAAAGACAGTGTGACGTTTTTAGAAAAGCGCAATATCCCGAAAACGCCAAAAATGTTTGTTATTTAGCATACTTCGTTTTAAGATGTATAAAATGTATTCTTATACCAAAAACATAGTAAATATAAAAGCACAAATGAAATAACGTTTAATAATAATATTATAGTAAAGTTTGCATCTAAATATCGTTAACTAATTATTGTGATTTTATATATGACAGTTTGTCAACTGCCTACATTATGGGTATAGATTGCAAAACAGTTTCTCAGAAATTCTAGACTCTTTTGAGTTAAGCGAGATGATGTTCAAAAAGATAAACTGGATTTTGCTTGATGTCAACAATGAGGACGTCGTAGGAACAAAAGTGTTTTATAAGGCGGCATGATGTCAGGCCGATCATTGCCTGATATGTTTACATAGGCGTGATCATATACAAACAATTTCGTGTTTGTAGTGAGAACTTCTTTTTCATTAAATTAATTTGCACTTTTTGTTCGTTTTGGATTATGCTGACTTTTAAATCGCCCTCCAAATGTTGCTGAATACTTCATGATTTTCAGTGTTTCCACCCGAATCTTCATAAAGAAGGATTCTTAATTTCCTGTCTGTTGAGATCTTTAAAGTAAGATTTTTTTTGAAGACATTTAACGAATAAGTGGCCGTTCGGGCGATCTTTTTCCCAAAGATGGTCATTTGGGTCACATGTGAATAATCATTCAAACATCAAACCTCATTTTCGAAAAAATGTCAGTCCGAAGCGAAAGTCGGCAACGAATATGCCTTCCAGCAATAAGAAACTTTTTACTTATTTGAGAAGTGCGTCAATGCTTCACTCCAATGACGGAACTCTGTGTGCCTTGCATTTTTGCATGGTGAGGCCAAACAAATATTTGATACTTTTGGCCATTTCTTTCATGTACCTAAACAATACTAATATATTTTTCTACTATAAACATAAGAACATGATTTTCTCTATACATTGAGGTTTTTCTCGCTTTGAGTGCCAATATAAAAACTGATATGTTGCTGAAATTATTAATGTTTCGCACGTTCTATTTCTGAAGCTATACTACACGACAATTAGTGTTGCATAACATTAAAACAGGAAATGACCATTCGGCGGTTGTCATTTGGGTGACATCAGGGAGACTTTTTCAAATAGCAAAACAATTTCAGCCCATTTAAACGAAGGAATTTCCGTCAGCGTTATTACGGCACTTTAGGCCACCAAATAGCACAGGACTGCTAATCTGGCATTTATAAATTGATAAAAGCCCTTATTTTCTTAAAATAAGCTTTGGTTGCCATGATTAGCATCGGTCATAAACTAAATTGTCAAGTGCGGTCAAATCTCTCCATCAAAACTCTCCTGCATAAATGACTTTCCTTTCAATGAAAGATCGCTCAAATGCGTAACGGGAGTCTGGGACATGAATTACCATAGGACCGTGCACGAATATAGTCCGACTTCTATTTTCGCTAAAATATACCAACATTTTACATGATATAACTGCGTACATGCAATTTCTGCACACAAAGAACATTTTATTGAATGAAGTGGATGAGCGAACAAAATCCTTAACGATAAAGGCGTCCAGAAATTCTCTCATCAGTCTCCGTTTTCAGATTTCATGAGGCAGGTCACGTACTGTATGTTATCATGAGAAAACCAATCAGTGTATACAGATTAAACAACAATGCCTTCTAAAGAATCAATAGGCAGTAATAAGTAATATACAAATGGGACGTAAATAGTACAACGTTGAGCCGACTGTTTTGATTTTCCTGCGATTTGTGTCTATACGGAAACAAGAGTGAGTCTTCGAAAACTGGGCTAAGAGATGATGAACTTAAATTCAACAGCAAACAAGTGCAAAAACGTACAAGGACCGTGTGTGCAAGGAAATATGCTCACACGCACATATGACCGAGGGAGCGCATATCGCGGTTAAATAAGAATAAAACAAACTTTTAGGCAAAATGCAGGAAACCGGCGGCAGATGAGTGGAATTGTCGCGCCGCAGCACTGAAAGCGCAGATGTTAATGCGAGAAGGGGTTTTTATGATATGATATATCCACCCTTCTGTGATGGTTTGGTTAAATACCCCATCGAATGACATCGTGTAGTCAAAATGAATTCTGGCTTCTGGTGTAGTTCGGTAACAGGTATTGCCAATGATCAAATTTAGACACACTACGAATACATTGCACGTGCTAAAAGTTACCAGACAGCAGTTTGCTTGTTCTGTATAAATCATTTATAAATCTTCTACCTAACTTTTCGTGTGTGCTTGTGTTCTTGTTGGTAAGAGGTCGGATCTCATTTCGTAGCCCGGGATAGTAAAGACAGGGCCGAAGTCACTGTTTTACGGGACCGGCGGTAAAGGGGCTTTTAAAGGGTGGAGTAAGTGAATAAAGACATAGGCGGACAAAGCTAAGTGAAATAATCGTTAGGGTTTTCGTGGGGAAGCCGCAAAAGGCACAATTCACCATGATTATCCATAGACTGACCACAGCGCAATGCACTTATTTTTGTGAGTGTAAATCACATACGGAATCTTAAGTTGATCTTCAAACTCCAGTTATTTTTCTGTATCCATTTGGTATTTCCGATTTCAACCTTGTGATGCACTTCACTTCTAAGAAAAAAATAGTTAGTTTCTAGGGTGAACACCTTGCTAACCTGTATGGGCTATTTGAGTTCGACGGATATCCAAACGTTTTGCATTGAACTGTCTCAGACTACAAGCACAATCTTAAGATCTCACCCCGACTGAGAAATTGGGGCACAAAAATCATACTACTTGCCATATTTGCTGATAATCTCTGAAATAATTGCCCGGCAGTAGAATCGTGCTCATGTTGAACAAAAACAGGCTATATAGTACGCTATATACTGCAACTCTAATATGTCAACTGACGCTTGCAGTTGCGAGATCTCATGAAGAAGTTAATGACAATTAAACTGTTTAAAATAATAATAGTTTTTATTCAATGTTAAATATTTATTAATCACAACCCCACTTTTATCCAGTCAGTGCGGTCGCACTGATATGCCGAGAATTGCTCTGAAAATTTGGTTATTGTGTGCCAATGATAGTTAGCATGTGATAATGCTATTTAACTTCTTCACGGATGATCGACCGACATTATTTAACTGCCAAACCAAGTCAAATGCTCTTCTAATACTTGCATTACGTTGGACAAATTACCGCCGTTGTGTAACAAAGTAAGGGTTTCGGGGTTTAGCACCACATTTTAGCGCATATTCTTTGAGACATCAATGACAGCATGTGATTTACTTCGACCATATGAAGTCTGTCATACTGCAAAACTGATAAAAATAGCCATAAGGGAAATACTTAAGTCACTGTTCATTTTTTACTAATGGATAATTCATGTAGCTACCTTCGATGAAAAGTCGGACTGGTTCATATTTCCATACGGGGGCCATCACAACACCTATACTTTATCAGGATTTAGACTAAGTCAGCAGCTTTCGTTTATGCGATTTATATGGTGTTTTTTTAGTTTATGAACCGTGCATGACACCTTTTTTGCGAAAGCTAAAATGTGAACTGATTTAGTTAACTACGTACCTTCCGTAGACTTGCAGTCGTCATAGCATTTCTCCAATGTTTTAAATGGCTGCGGATCATCTGGTAAGCTGAAGTATTCGACACTGATGCATCTACCGTTTAGGGCATTGCACATATACATCGGATACTGTAGCGTGTGGCCTTCTAAATGAAATAAAAATGAAACTGTAAATTGCAGGCAGGGTTTTCAGCAAGAGAAACTATAGAAAGCAATGCTTGCCTTCTTGGTACACTTGACAGTGAGCGTAGCATTTCGTGAAAAAACTGAGAGAGTTGTTCCGGTTTGCAACTTCAAAGCATGTAGACATGTCGTAGTCGCAGAGCCTATTTTTCTCTGGTGCTTGTCCTTTATCTAAGAACGGAAGTTTTAAATGTTGTCAAGACTAGAAATTACAAAAAAAATTTTGGATAAGCACAATTTAATGAGTGGTCATCGCAGGAACGCATGCAGTTGCGTTTTTTAAGTTCCATATGAACGGATAACATAAAATTTTAATAGTCATACTAATAATGATGCACTGTTATTTTTGGTTGGCTGATTTAGAAATACCTCGATCTGCAAGCCGGCGCATGCAATGAGATAGTTGTATGCTCGGTATGCAAATACGCAATGGTACACAACGTTTACGAACTGCCCTCCAAAGATAGACTGAAACACTTGCCACTTACCATCCGACAGCTCCTGACACATTTGAATGCATTGTATAAATTCAAAGAAATCATCCCCTCCCGCAGTCGAGTCGTAATATGTCACTGGATTGCAATCATGCTTCCAATCCGTGCACTCGTATGCTTCTATCGGCTTTGCCTTCTCCGCTATAACACAGAAAAGCTGAACTAAAACACTAAAGCATTTCACTTTAGACGTGTTTCGCAATGTACGCTCACCGGATTGGAATCCAAAGTCCTTTACACACTGACGGTATGATGGATATTCATCGTTCTTATTGAAAAATGCCCGGCACCCCCAATAACGCTCCTTGCATAAACTGATTCTGTTGGGCCGTTGGGAAACTTCTGTGTGGAAAAAGTGAAAGTCGAAATACTACCTGAAAAAACGTAAATATTTAAATAATGAATATGTAAAGCATGCCAGAAAACGTTGTTCAACTATCCGAAACGATTTTTTCTCGATATATTTAATTCATATTTGTTTTTTTCAGTGTTCTTCGATAATGATTTTGCAACCGTCTACAATGCCGACACTTCTGGTGTAAGTTTACAACTTAAAACGCCATCTATATTTCACGGTTTAAGGAGGCATGTGAGAAAGCGCATATTCATTAATATTCATGAGTTCGATGTGGCGACATGACGAATTATTTCGTGTGCATATTGACGGGCTTGAAATTATATACATCATAAGTTACCATTTTAAGCAATTGGACGACTGAAATGAAAGTAATGCACATCAAACCTTTCTAAGAGCATCCGGTATATTTAAGAGAACGAGCTGCCTATAAGCGAGAAAAAACAAGAAAATTCTTACGAAGCCGATTTAAAACGTCCTTGCCGTGAGTTACGACGCAACGTCTAAAAGCGTATTTAAGCTGAGTGATCCCGCAGCAAATAGTAAATTATTAATGAACAAAAACGTATTTGTGTCTTTGCTGAGCATATAAAATAATGACTTTTATGAGGCTTTGTGAATAATATTTTGAAAATAAACAAGTTTGCACACAATGTTGACAGGAAGACCAAAATGACATAAACAAAAAGCAGTCTGCGTACGAAACATCCGTAGAGCCGCACACTGACCACGAACAGTTGCACTGACACGAAAGTCCGTATCGTTCAAAGCACTTTTCTTTAGGTGGGGTTTTAATGGACGTTCCCACTGCATCTACTGGAAATTCGAAATGTGTGCTAAATCATGTGCAACCCTAGACAGTAACGGAACACTGAGTCATACGAGCATTTATCTTCTTTATTGGAGAAAATGCGTGCAGCGCACACTTGAGCAAAAAACCATACCACCTTTTGTTAGTAAGATCTACAATATGTATGCCGACTAAGGCCATCTGATTTTGAAATCCGAATAGTGGCTGCCTAAAAAACTAACTTTGAAAAATAATACCTGGTTCGACAAATAGCAGCGGAAATGTCAGGTGTTCGCAGACTGAAAAGTTAATACATATTTAATTTTTGATAAGTCGCCTGGACTTCGCTGGCCGATATACATTTTACCTTTTGCAACTGCTGCGGCTTCGAAGAAAATCGTGTAGCCCCTTGGGAGACAGACGGCGTTTTACTGGATACTGTTACCTGTTTTGTTAAGCGGACGGATGTTAACTTGCAGATCTTACTGTTTATCTTAAGACCCGTAACTTATAAATTTAAGGCATTCCGTAAGTTTGCAAGCTTATTTCATTCAAACGTCTTGCTTTTCCCTCTTCTGTACATAATCGTGATAGTTGGCATCAGATACAATGAATATGTCATCTTGTGAAATGTTGACCGAAATTCTAAAATTTGTTTTTAATTTTAAAAGGTTACGTAAAATTGACCGTCACAGTAATTATCACATCGCATTATTCCAAGGGATTTTGCTTATAAATTACGTCCTCTTCAGAATACTTTTTTGTTCTCAAAGTGTCTTATTTAAAATAGCTTAGGACCATGAAATGTTCAGTCGGCTGCATAATAATAGGCGACATAATTTTCATGCATGTCAATATCGTTTGGGTCCTATATTTTTTATTAAAGCATATAAAAGGCAGGCATCTCAAAACAGAAACATACTTTCGCTTATATTAGCAACACCTTTGAGGCATAAAATAGAAAAACCAAATGTTCAACTACATTTTTTTAAAAAATAATGTATCCATAAAAATTGGCTGCAATCATATGGGTTAGATCGGTATAAACGGTAAAAGCAATTATGCACTATCAATGAGATTTTAAGCAATAAGCTAGTACGTGTTATATTCTACGCAACAAAATTAAACATGAACAACAATGTTTAAGAGTTTATATTTGAATATATATAACGCCATGTACCACACTGCAGACAGATAGCGAGCAGAACCGCAGTCACGTAAGCCGAAGTCATCGCAAATCTAAGGCTTGTCAGAGCTTTTACCCCTTGATTTTTATATGCCTTTGCGACCTGTTTTTTTCTTATTGTTTGAACAATATCGATTTTTGCTGGCAAAATACATTCGGGCATAAATTGGACAAATTAACGATCAGACAGATTTTACACAACTCAAAAACTCGATAAAATAGCTCTTCGAGTCATCGCGAAGTTCTTGAAAAGAAATTAAAGTATATGGGGGTTTCATTAATCACTCTTATGGAACATGCCTAAAAACGCTGGGAATCTAGTTTTTAGTTGATATTGCACAAAGTATCCGTTGTAAACGGTTCCAAGCACTTTACGTGCAGATGTATGTTGAAAAACCCAAACAATAAATCACAAGAATTGTTATGTGTCCAGAAATGTGTGAATAAATTGAATTACATGTTACATTCTGTACAGTACTGTTTATTTTTTGCCATTGTTGGACTACATTTTAATGTACTAACTGAGTTCGACGGCTCAACGCGAGGTTAAAATTATACAGCAGAAATATACTGTTCTACAAATTCATAATTACATTTTATGCCTCGCCAATTGGTCGTTAAATACCTGTGTTCCAAAAATATCTGACATTTAAAACAAACTTTGTTTAAAACAAATTATTGTGATTATAGTTTTCATATTTTTCCTACTTATGCATATAAAAAGATGATGCAATATATTATAATATAGTTTATTTCGGATTTCATTCTTTCTGTTGATGGTCTGTTATCGTACACTCTTGGCGAGAACAAACCTAGTGACCGCGACACATTGTTCTTTTGCATGGCGCCAAAGCTAAAAGGGTTATTCTAACAGATCTAAAAAGTGTTTGTTTGCAAATTACCCGTGGTAAATTAGTGATCTGTGTGCGGTGGCTGCCAGTGATTCGCTAGTAGCTGATCATAAATGCATCTTAGAGAAAACTAGCATTGCTGGCGCCTTCCTAACTAAGATCGACCGACAGTTCTTTGAAGCCGTACGGTTCGTAAGAACCGTGCTTTAGTAAGCACAGTGAAGTCCGCACCGTACATGCCAGTCTCAAAAGAATATTTTAGAGGAGACAGTCAAGTCACAGCCGTGACCTTCTAAAAACGAATGGGAGCGCATCATTGATTTAACGGCACATTAAAATCTTTGACTCTTTTCACTTAATTACACGCGAATGAAGCAGACCTCGGAAACCAATGTTGGTAATTTGTAAAATAATTTTTTTTCGCATTTCCCGGACGGGGGAGCGCACACCGATCCCGCTACTGAAAGCAAACAGCGGCGCGTAATATAGGCAGAACCGCATTACTGATGATGACAGAGAAGAATTAGGTGGTCAGTTCTGGCTTATTAGCCGTCCTAAGACAATCATGTCCAGCTCTGAGGTGTTGAACGCCTGGGTCTCGTTGCCGTCAACCAACGGGTTAGACGTTCAGTGCTCCTAACCGCTGAGCTATTGACTCCTCCCGTCTGACACTAATGTAGCGAATGCACCAATACCGCTGCATATGCATTATTGCAACCGACAGGACTTGGAGTCCGTGCTTCAATGGTTATCGCTTTGCAATTTCAACGAACTGGTCGCGCGATGTAATACCAGGTGTGCTGAAACTCAGGGTTGCGTATGGCTGGCTGACGGCAGCTAACAAACAAGAGATACTTGAAAAGGAGACACGATCGCTGGGACAAGAGCTTTATTAGCCTGGCGTTTCGGATTCCTACTCGAACCTACCCTCAAGACGAAAGTTGATACGAGTAGTTAATGAATAACGAGCTACAATATTTATAGGATGCAGTTGCCAGGCAAGCGCATGCATATGAATATTCACGGTTCCCCCCCCGTGGTGTGATAGCCGACAATGACGTCATTGACTGCTGCAATTTCATCACGTGCGTTGGATGTTTGTGTGATGATTGCTCGACCATCTGACGCGATGACCCTGGTTTTGGGAAAAGTGTTCAACACTGCGCTCCCCGTGTGGCCAACTACTCCGCCTAGGCAAAGTCCCAACATCGAGTATGGAATGGGAAGATCATCGCTCTTGTTAAGTAAATGGGAGCCAGTAAACCATGACTTAAGCAGCTCTCGGCCTCGTTGAATGTGAATGTGTGGCCGTATCTCGTCGAATGAGCGCGAGCTGGCGTTGTTCCTCCTCACCGCTTCAGCATGTTCGGCCATTCGTGTTCGAAGCTGTCTTACGGCTTCTTCGACGTAGTTGCTTTGTCCACAACTGCACCAAATAACCATTTCAGGCTTCCTTTTTTGTCAATAATACTATTCTGCCTCCATTATGGGTCGAAGTGAGGCCAGTAGCGTGACTCGATGACAAGCTCCACGGTGCACGGGTAAGTGTTAATGACCTAAGGCAGTCTGTGAGCACACTGCTATCGTTACATGTGCATATGTATTGCGTGGTTGTTCAATCAAAAGGAAAAAAATCTTTAATTATGTATAGTGTTGTTGGCTGTTACAGGTCAGACTGGACACTGCCGTTTTATTATCTCAGTGGCTTCATGTATGCCCTGTACGCAAATATGCGTACGTACATTTGTTTTTTTGTTATTTGCATAAAAATGTCGGGACCAATAAAAAGGCAGTATGCATGGCACTGCATGCCGTAAGATACGCAGGTGGCAGATAAAAAAAAACACATCCATCAAACGTTGACAGCGAAACCGACACATGGCAACGTGCTCCTGGCCCAGTGGTTAGAGGCGTGGGCTTCTAACTAACAGGTCGCGAGTTCGAGCCCAGCTGTTCCATACTTAGGGGTGGGGTATGATTGTCTGACGACGGTTAATAAGCCTAAAATGGCCATTCCAGGCTCCCTTGTCTTTGGCGGCAATACCATACTGCCTATATCTGGGTTTATTTGGCATTCCACCGATGCCCTGTTATGAAACTTATTTGTTTCATATTTGAGCGCAATTCGTTCAGTCAAAAATAGAAGATAACCTCCACTTTCCCTAATCTATGAAGGAGAAATAGATGTAAGACGGACTTGTTAACTTTAACTAGAAGTCTAGAATGTTTTTGCTCAGAACTTTGTGGGCGTTGCCCAAATAGCTCCGAGAAGTCTCTAGCTGAAAATCCGATAATTTTTTGTCGATATTTATAGGCCAGACATGTTGTAGGCGAACTTGAACTTCGTGCGCAAAAACATCTAAACGTTTTTTTAAGGGCTTCTTAATTATTGGCATTTTCTCGTGCTGTGGAATTGGAAAACAACGTTCTAAATTATATTACTGGCAATTCTCCCTTTTGCCAAAATTTGGAAGCCAGCCAATTATAAAATATGTTTTCCGGAATCTTTTCCCTCGTTGAATGCACGGGGCGTTTTCCAGACTTTAGGGCTGGATAGTTATGCAAAGCCATTAACATTCATCAAAATCCTGGTAATTTTCAATTAAATACCAGAACTAGATGTGCATGCTGTGGAGAAGCAGCACTTATTATACAAGATGATACTCAGGAATTTTTAGCTGTGGTCTTCAGAAGAATATATGCACCGTTTTATTAGTTGGTTCAGACAAAATCGAACATAAGCAATCTTATAACCAGTATATTGTATAAAGTGCGATGATAACCTAACAGCTAACGCTAGCACGCACAAATTATTAGCGTCTTTCTGACTCCATTTTTGTGTGTAACCTGTGAATCCTATTTACTTACTACCTCCGCCTTATAGAAAATCGTTCCTAACGTTACATTTGGCTGTCGCGGTATGTAAGCATCCGTAAATAACTATCAATTACAAGCTGATCTAATGCATCACGTAGGTGTCATGTGTATGCAAACAGGCAGGCGGGGTTAGAGGGAAGAGAATACGGTAGATGCGTCGCACGCACAAGCCATCTTTCCTGGTGTGAAGCACACGACGGATATCGCCGGCAACGATGGTTGAGCCGTCTGGGTGATGAGGAAATTGTCCTGCTGACTGGCTATCGATTATCGAAGCGTCTAGTTCAAAAATCAATTAGAATTTTGAATAGACACCCGGACTTGTTGGCCCTGGACTGATCGTTTTTCTTCCTTCTTAAGTTAGTAACAGTAAGATATCCGGGTCGATAATCTGAGAAAAAGGAAGTGCTCAGCGGATCGAGGGATATGTTTGGCTGAAGTTTAAAACATCTGAAACTAGAGCCCGATGAATCCATGGTATCTTTTGATGTCGTTTCGCTATCCACCTCCATTCCACAACAACTAGCGATTGACGTTGTGAAACAATTCCTGGCTGATCGCTATAACGAAAGATACAATCCCCTCAAGACCGAACATCACATGCAGCTCTTACGGCATTGCCTAAAAGCGTATTTCGACTTTGGTGGGCAAACATATGAACAAATCAAAAGCAACCCACATGGGCTCCCCATATCACGGCTGATTGCTGAAGTGGTCCTTCAACGAATAGAACACTTGGTGTTCACCAAGTATCAACCAAAGCTCTGGGCTCGGTACGTCGATGACGCTTTTGCCATTGTCATTTCGTCTGAAGTGGAGCACCTTAAAGAATTACTGAATTCGGATGACCAGAATATCCAATGCACGACGGGAGCTGAAACAAATAACCAACTTCCCTTTCACGATATCCTTGTGCGTTGGTGTGCAACTGGACAATTACAAACTACCGTTTTTTAAAAAACCACCAACATATGACAAATACTACCTTTTAACAGCAAGCATCCCTGTCTCACAAACGCAGCTGTGTCCGCACTCTAATCCAAAGCGTTGAAACACACTGCAGCACATCAGCCGACAAAAGATTTGAACGACAATAATTTCGAATCAAGCAAATCAAGCGCCGAGTTAACAGACGACGGCCAAAAGAAGAACAATGAGAAGTCTGGAAGACTATTCCTTATATTAAAGGATTCTTTGAGGCTGTGGCACGGCTGTTACGACCCGCCATGGTAGGCATTGTCCATCGACCGCAGGCAACAATTTGTCACCGCTTGATGTAACCTAATAACATCCTGCACTCACTGAAACCTCAGCAGTTGCCTATCAAATACGTTGTAACGACAAGGACTGTCACAAAGTTGGGGGAACCGGGCGGGAATTACTGACCCGCCTACATGAGCACAAACTGGCAACTCGGAAACTAGGCCCAAACTCACAGCCTGCGGCTCATATCGTGGAAACTGGTCATGGTTTTGATTTCCAATGAGCAGCCGTCTTAGGCAGGTGCAGCTCAAAATCAGGACGTTTCACACTTGAGGCTTGGTACTCAGATGCCAAATCAATCAACAGGCACCTAGACCTTCCTTCGGCCTATAAAGTCCGACGTCACTAGATACACCGTGACGAACACAAGACCGTCATACGGAGTCTAATTCTACCGATCAAACACAACCTGTCGACCAATTCACCCAAAAGGGGAACACAAACGCAACTCACCCCAATTGAGATGACGCCACACAATACAAGAGGCCACCAACGCTCACAAGCTACGGCCTGTAGGCCAAGGCAGCGAAAGCGGAAAAAATCGATCAGCTCAAGGCCAAATAATCCGGCTGTCTTTTCAAAATTCTGATCGACTTTTATACTAGACGCTTTGATACTGGAGAGCTGACCCAGCTCTTCCAAACGTCAGCCAAACAAGTCCCTCGATCCGGTGCGCACTTCCTTTTTTTCAGATTTTTTCCTCCGTTTGTTGCCTTGGTCTACTGGTCGTCGTTTGTGAATGCTGGTGGCCTCCTGTGTTATGTGTCGTCACCTAGATTGGAGTTAATTGCCTTTATGGTCCCTGTTTGGGTGCATTAGTTGACGGGCCATGTTTGCTCGGTATTCTTACGC